GAAGATTCAAAAGGATCTGAAGAGTTAAATAAATGTGAAGAAAATGTAGAAAGAAAGGTTTCTAGCAGATCAGCCAAAGGGGTTCCACTGGAAAGATTCTCCTATAAAGCAGAAGATGAAGAATCAACATTATCTCAAAATAAAGATCGAGAAAGCTTTGAAGAAATTCTAAGCTGACCAAAACATGAACAAGAAGCTTGGATCAAGGCGATGGGTGAAGAAATAAACTCTCTAAAAGAAAACAAAACCTATCAAATTACAGATTTACCACCAGGAAAACATGCAGTAGGCAGCAAATGGGTGTTTAAAACCAAATATCATGAAACTGGTAAAAAGATAAAATACAAAGCACAATTAGTAGCCAAAGGATTTACTCAAAAATACAGTAGTGACTATGATGAAACTTTTTCACCAGTAGTGAACACACTACAATATGAGTTTTCTTAGCATGGGCAGAATATAATAATGCCAAGGTACATAAACTAGATGTTAAAACAGCTTTTTTGAATTGCAAGTTAAATGAAGAAATATATATGGAACAACCAGAAGGATTCGTAGTTCCGGAAGGAAGATATAAAGTTTGTAAAATGCAGAAGTCCCGTTATGGTCTCAAACAAGCAGCTATATATATGCTGGAATACAAAAATTGAAAATACATTGAAGAATCTTGAGTTCTGTCAAAGCAAAGCAGATCCATGTTTTTTTTTTTTTTTTTTTCACAAAAGAGAATCATCATCAAATAATCAATTTATTTGTATATGTTGATGATATCCTAATAAGGTCTGCAGAAGAAGGACTAATTCTTCAAGTAATTAATGATTTAAAGAAACATGAAATAACACATCTTGGTGAAGCTAAATATTTCGGCATAGAAATAAACGTTAAAGAAAGATGAAAGTTATCTCTTATCTCAGAAAAACAAAATAAATCAACTAGTCAAACAATTTCAACTTGGAAAAGCGAAATGCACTAGTACACCAAATTTTTACAGTCTAAAGAAGGAAGAAAATCTCCTAACTTCAAATGATGAATTTCTCCAAGCTATTGGAAGTCTTTTGTATATATCATCTATCACAAGACCAGATACCACAGCTTCAACTCACATACTTAGCAGAAAGTGTAATAATTCACGTCAAAAAGACTGCTGTAAAAAGAATCATTAGATATTTAAACACGACAAAGCATTTATCTCCACAAATTTTGTCGAGTGAAGAACCTAATCTTATAGTTTATTTAGATGCTGATTGGGGACAAGATAGTGAAGATAAGGAAGAGTAATTTTGTTAGGCAATAATCGTATTTCATGGTTTTCTAGAAAACAAACATGCATCTCATTATCCTCAGCAGAAGCTGAATATGTTGCACTATCGCAAGCTATGCAAGAATTACTATGGCTATTAAAATTAACAGAAGATTTTAATCTACCCCAAACTCTACCAATAAACAATAAAACTTCCAGAATCTGAAAAGTTTAGTTCGTGCACAAAACATATTGATACAAAATTTCATCATATATGCAACTTGCATAACAAAGGCATAGTAAAACTTTACCTTTCAATAGAGCAAATGGTTGCTGATATTATGACTAAACCAATTCCTAAAGCTAAATTTCAGTTTTGCAGGAATCAATTGCAAATGGTATGAGTTTCATTAGCAAAACAGGGGCAATGTTAGCATAAATTTAGCTATTTTTGCATAATGAAACTCAAAAGCATAAAAGAAAACATGGGCAAAGATATATACTGGCAAGAGAAAGCGAATGTCGGGGACATTCAATTCTCATCTTAGCTACTTGTATCTGAGCGAAAGGTCTAATTCAGTTAGTGATTTCTCTTTCAGGTACTGTGTCAAAATATGTTTGTGTTTCTCTTTTTTATTGCCTAAATGGGTAAGCCTGATGATGACGTAAGTTATTTTTTCAATACTTCAATTTTTAATGTCTGTGAAGATTACTTTAATTGGTGTTCTACTTAATCTAAGCAGAATTCTCATACTTGTTAAAATAAAGATTTCGTAGTTATTTTGACTTAATGATTCTTTGATTACAACTGTGCTAACTAAAGGAAATGTACTAATGCACAATACAACAGTATAACATACCTGGAAATCTCATCACAGTAAAAACCTGAAGATTTCAGGAAAAAATTCAAAACATCAGGAAATACAAAATTTGCACATATTAGAAATGTAATTAGGAAAAGAAAACCCTTTAAAGAAAACAGCTTTATAACATTTATTACTGTTTTATGTTTAAGAATCAAAATATTCTCAAAAGTTTATGTTGCCATAAAAGAGCCTTAATATTTTAGTTATTTATTTTTAACAATGGTAAAATAACATTCACATTTCACATTATTACGAGTTTGGTTATTATAGCTTTCAGAATATATGTGATCCAGTCATATCTAGGAATTCCATCTACTATAGTATGTATCTTTCCTATGAAACCAACCAAAGCATCCATACTAACGTCTTTAGACTGTACAAATTTCTCACACTGCAATGTCTTAAATTGTTTTTGCAGTTCATGGCATACTATATCATCATTTTCTCCCCTTCTATACTTCATACACCATACACACACATTCCACACACCATATTTCTTTGTGAATAGAAAGGGGAATTTTTACATAAAATATCAAGCACAATTAGAAGAAGAATTATCACTTTCTTTTAAAATAACAATTTCTGATGATGTAATTGCATGCAATTTCAAAGATGTAAAACACATGCAAAATATTCTTCTCCTTAATTTCTGTCAAATCTTAAATTTTTTTTATTACTGAAGGCTTTACCAATTTAATAAGAAGTCCTTTATAATGCAAAAAATAGCATTTTATTCAAAATACAAACCATCTTTATTCACATTCACATATAATGCATAAATATTCCCCTTGAATTCTTGAATAAAAAGAATTCTTACATTATTCTTTAATACAGTCAACAGTCGTTAATCCGGACTTGTCGGGACTTCGGCGATTCCGGATTATCGATTTTTCCGGATTATAGATCATCAGTTTAAATCTCGTAAGATGGCATGCAGAAATTCTAAAATTAAAAATATGAAACAGTAATTTATGAAATAAAGAACAATTATGATCTAAAGGGTATCAAAATTTACAAAAAAAAAAAAAAAAAAAAAAAAAAAGCTTAATATTATTTGTTTACTTTATTAAACATTTCTTTCAATGTAAGTTGTTTAAGTTGCTTCGTTTTATGTGATAATACTTTCTCTTTAATTCTATAAACAGACATAATTTCTTGTTCAGTTACTAAGTTCCGCTGTTCAAGTCCCGTTAATTGCTGTGCCAAGAATACAGACTAACTTGTCAATTGAAATGTTTTCATTTTCACTAACCTCTCTGTCACATTCTTCATGTCTTTATCCATTTTTTGCAGCAATTCCACTTTTTGTTTGTTGGACATCGAAACATACTTTCGTTTTATAGATCCTTTGGAAGTTCCAGCATCGGAAATTCTATTTGACATAATCGAAAGTTCAAGTTTACTTTTATAAAATTGCTCTTACAGTCTGCAAAAAAAAATAAGCGGGATCCAATTCGAAGATTAAGGAACAACGCAATCATTAACATTAACTGAAATAGATAATTAGATAATTTTAGCTTACACCCTCCATTATTACATTAAGCGCGCAGGCGAAAATGTATCGCGTGCACTATGCATGCGCAGTAGTCAAGGTCTTACGCGCACGCGTAAAACGCCTGTGTTGTGTTGCCAAAGCGAAGAAAAGTTTTTAACTTTGAGGTCCGGATTATGGGTGTCCGAATTAACGACTTTTGACTGTACAAAGAAATTTACCCTTGTAAAATAGTCTAAAATACAGAAAATATTGTTTTTTACTAATTTTATTTTCTTTATTGATAATTTTTTATAGTAATGTGCAAACATTATTTAGCACTATTTGATATATTTTGCAATCACCAAATCAGATAAGGTACCATGCTAATTTCATATTTTGACCCCCCTTTCCAAAAAATGCCAAAAATGGAAATTAGATATTTTAAAACCAGATAATTGGAAAATATATCCTTTATATCATGTCATTATGTCTTCGGAAGTTTAAGATATCACAATAATATTCATACATCTCGGGAAGGGGGGGAATTCAAGCATGCAAATCACCAACTCGATGGTTATCAAACTAAATTCATTTTAAAGTCAGTAAAATGGTGATAAATCATCAGATTTAGCGATACACAATACAGACATGTAGAAGTGAACGCATGCTCCAACATTTCTTCCCTCACCCTGAAAAATATGTGGATTTGCCCAATCATGTGGTGAACAATAGTATTCAGAAAGTTCACATGTGCCAAAAATACATTGCAACAAACAAATCATCATGATGGAAGGAATTTTGACATCTTTATAAAAATAAGGCACAATTCATAAAAAATTAGCCTTCGATAATTAACTACAGAGGTTTTTGGAAAAATTATTAAAAAAAATCATACAAGTCAATATGTATGATACAAAATGGATTAATTTTGAAATGATGGCCAAAGAATGGGTTGGCTGCCTTACATGCTTTACTTCAAGAGCAACACAGAGCATACAGTGCTTTAGTCACACATGCAAGACATAAACATAAGCCAGTACCCCTTTTATAACATGAATACGAGCCAGTTTTCAGTTTTTAAGCATGCAGAATTTTACACTTCGATTTTGTTTTGATTATTCTTTACATTTAAGTAAATCATATACAGTGGTGTTTGGCATTTAAATTTTACGCTGTGCATTTCCACTTAACTGCTGATAGGAAAATCGATATCGCATTTTTAAAAATGTTAATTTCTTTTCTACTTTCAAATATTATTATATAATTTACTATTAAAATATTGTTACATAATTTCTCACTACCTACAATTTATCATGAGCAAATTTTCCAGAAGTGTAAGCATAGCATTTAAATTGCTAAATATAAAAAAATTATTTCAATTAAAAAATTTATAAAAGTCATTAAAAGACATAAAGCTCACCATTTCATCAAGGTTATACATTTTCAATGCATCAGATAATTTTGAATTTTCTTGTTCTAAAGTTTCAATAACAATATTCTGATTCCGCCTGTTATAAGAAAAAGTGATTACATCATAATAAACACTGTACAGTTAGATCAATAATATTGATAATAATGGCTTGGGCACATGCTAAATTCTGAATTTTAGATATAAAATCTTCAATAAAATTTAAAGTTTGTTCTCAGTTATCACTTTAATCATGTTCATATATAATTTATATTATTGAAATAAATCAATTAAAAAACTTACGTAAGTTCATTTAAGCTGGAAGATATCTTTTTTGTATCATCCAGATATAATGAAAGAGTACCATATGCCAATTTTTGTAGAATTTCCCTAGATACTAAAATAAAAATAGGAAATGTCTAATAAAAACAATCATAGTTTACATAAGTCTACTAACAATATTTTATAACCTCTTTAGAATAATTCCCATATTTTTAATTACAAAACTGATGATTATGAATTGACAAATTTAAGTTTTAATACCTAAAAATTATTTAAATTTAAAATGTGAATTTTTTTATAAAATTATTGGTTCTTGTGGCTTATCTGGTATCTGAAGCTAGGACAGGCACCAAGCTTTGGTGGTGATTTCAGCATTGATTAGATTGGTTTCTATGAAGTAATTATGGTAACGAACTGATTGATTAATTTCATTACCTTTGTTAAATACTGAGCAGCTTTATTATGCACTATAACTACCAAACTGGGAGGGGGAACTGTAAGTCACCAAGCAATATGATATTCATCTGCTGTTCCGTGTTTTGATATCTTTAAAACTTCATATTTTATCTAGTGCTTTGCTATCATGATTTGGAAGCGATGATCTGTTACTCTTGCACTATAAAAATTTAATAACATGCTCATACCCAGTAGATTTGAAATTATAGTTATTTTCATCCTCTCTCTGTGATTTTGATACTGCATTAGTTAAAATAATACATATCAAAAACTTAAACTAATAAATTAGTAGATGCAGATTAAATGATTCCAGGAAGAGGCTAAAATTACATAAAGAAACCTATAATATTTTAAAATTTATTATAAGTGCATATACCAATCATATTAAAATTTTATAACATATTATTAATTATTCATATTTTTATGTTTCAGACTGACTTCTAAAGGCGTTATAAATTTGAAACATCAAAACCTGTATAATCCAAGAGAACAGTATTGCATTTCATGGGCAAATTGCTCGCTAGGTATGATAAAAAGAAACAAATCGTACAATCGTTAATTAAAACATTTATGGATCAAAAATGTATTTCACAGGTTGATAATGTTAATTTACGACAATTAGCTGATACTTCCGATGATGTTATCAGAGATTTAAAAGCTCTTGGTGACGAAGCAACTTCTAGGATCCATGGTTAATATTTATGTTGCTTCAAAAGGTAGATTCAGAAACTCGAAAGTTATGGGCACAGAAAACAGCGGAAGATGATTTTCCTACATTGGAATCATTTTTTGAATTTTTAAATTTAAGGTGTTCTTCTCTCGAAATTATCATAAATAAAGAAGCGGAAGCTAAAGTTGTTGATAAAAGTAGTAATGTTAGTTCTAAAACATTACAGAATTCTAAATTTAGTAATACTAAATGTTCGAAATGTAACGGACTTCATGCGTTATATAAATGCGTTAAATTTAAGAATTTGGATGTTACTGCTAGAAAGAACTTTGTACGAAAACGAGGATTGTGTTTTTTTATGTTTAAATTCACATCTAATCAAAAACTGTAATTCACAGTTAAAGTGTAATTTGTGTAATTCAAAAACGCATAATAGTTTGTTGCATGAAGATATTAAAGCTAACAACGTACAGCTTTTAAAAGCGCCAAATGAAAACGAAAGCACTCCAGAGAGAATTTCGAATGAATCATGCGAGGGTCAAGGTCAGGTAGTTGTCAGTAATACGATTCAAAATTGCAACTCGGCGATTTTGCCTACAGTTCTCGCACTCGCATTTTCATCCAGTGGCGAAACTATCGAAATTAAATTATTATTGGATTCCGGAAGTGAAAGTTCGTTTATTTCTGAACGAGCTGTTCGAAGATTAGGATTAAAAAGAACAAATCAAAGGTTACTTTTGCGTGGAATTGGCGGAGTGCCAGCTTCCAAAACTCGTGGTTCTGTTGATTTTAAAATTCAGTCAAAGTTAAAATAATCAAGTAATTGATGTTAACGCATACATTTTGGATAGGTTAACTTTGCCATTGCCGGAACAAGTGATTAATGTAAAGCATATAGAATACATTAAATCTATTCCGTTAGCGGATCCGAATTTTGCTCAACCCAAAGAAATTGATTTGATTTTAGGAGCTGATTATTTTTTCTCCGTTTTAAGATGTGGCCAAATATATGGTTCGAAAAATGAGCCTGTAGCTCAAAATACAATTTTCGGTTGGGTGATTGCTGGGAAGGTCGGAAATAATATGGAAGGCCCAAAAACAGCAAATTCACACTTCATAAAGTTAGAAGATAATATAAATATTGATTACGAACTTAAGCGTTTCTGGGAAATGGAGGATATTGTCGATGTTGGGAAGAAGGAATTTCTGACACCTGAGGAACAATTTTGTGAATCACATTTTCAAAACACTCATGCTGTTAATTTAATTCAGATGGGCGATTTGTTGTAAAACTTCCATTTTATAAATCGCATTTGAAGTTGGGTGATTCAAAACCGGCAGCAATTTCTAGGTTGCGTTCCATGGAACGAAAATTCAAAGATAATCCGGAATTTGAAAAACAGTATAAAGATTTCATACATGAATATGAACAGTTAGGACATATGACTGTGATTAATGATGATTTATCTAACAGATCGGATACAGAAAAGTTTTATCTTCCTCATCATGCGGTCAATTAAACCTTCTAGCACAACGACAAAATTAAGAGTAGTTTTTGATGCATCCTGTAAATCTGAAAATGGTATATCATTGAATTCTCTTTTAGGGGTAGGTCCGAAATTACAAAGAGATATTTTTGAGATTTTGATTAATTTTCGATTTCCTAAAATTGTTTTCACAGCCGATGTGGAGAAGATGTATCGTCAGGTGATGGTAGCCCCTGAAGATCAGAATTATCAATTGATACTTTGGCGATACAATTCCAGTGATAAAATGCGCACGTACAAGTTGAAAACAGTTACTTATGGTCTTTTCCTCTGCTTCATTTTTAGCAACTCGATGTCTGAAGCAGGTAGCTTTAGAGTCTAAAGAGGAATCAGATGTATCTCGTATATTGCAAGAGGATATGTATATGGACGACTTATTGTCGGGTGCAAATACAGTTGATGATGCAGTATCTGTCTGCAAGAAAAATATCTTCAATTTTACATGCACGTGGTTTTGATTTGAGGAAGTGGAATTCAAATTCTGTAGAATTCTTAACTGAATTTAAGGAACATTGTTCATTGAATTCTGATTTTGAGATATCTCCTAATTCGAGTTCGAAAGTCTTAGGACTTTTTTGGAATTCAACTACTGATACCTTCAGTTTTTAAAGCTACACTGCACATCAACGCACCTATAACAAAAGACGCATATTAGCAGAATCTGCTCGCATTTTCGATCCTTTAGGTCTCTTATCTCCTTGCACTATATTGATTAAAATATTCTATCAAAAACTATGGTTAGTTAAAGGCGACTGGGATTCAGTTGTTCCCCAGCATATCTCAGATGATTGGTTTAAATTTCAAGAGACATTCAGTCAAATCAATAATTGTGAAATTCCGAGATGTGTCATACTTACAACGGACAGTGTTATCCAACTACATGGATTTTCTGATGCATCTTCGCAGGCTTATGCAGCAGCCATTTACTGTCGCCAAAAATGCAATGGTACGGTTAAGGTTAATCTTTTGGTATCAAAGACTAAAGTCGCGCCTATAAAGCAAGTATCCATTCCTCGATTAGAACTCTGTGCTGCGTATTTGTTGACCAGATTAATGCGATCTCTATTGAACATTTTAAAGAAGTTTGATTTTGAAATCTTTGCGTGGACGGATTCCAAGGTAGTTCTGTCTTGGCTATCAGCTCATCCACGTAAGTGGAAAACTTTTGTGGCAAACAGAACATCTCAAATCATAGAAGTGATACCTATTAAACATTGGAATCATGTTCCCTCTAAACAGAATCCTGCAGACATTGCTTCTCGTGGTATTGAACCTCAACTCCTACCAAATTGTACTTTGTGGTGGAATGGTCCACCATGGTTGCGTCAGGAAGAGGAAAAATGGCCTAAATATGAATTAAAATCTGAAGATGATACTGAAGTAAAGGCCGAACAAAGATCTGATCCTATTTTTATTTCTCATATACGTGAATCGAATGATTTATTAGCTAATAATTTGTTCGAGCATTATTCTTCGCGTTGTAAAATTGTTCGTATTCTGGCTTACTGCCAAAGATTTATTACTAATTGCAAGAAGCATCATGTTACTCAGAACATTTCACGTAGTGGCATTAACTCCAGCTGCCTTATGCCGCTAACATTTCTAGAGATTCGAGTAGCAGAAAATTTCATTATTCGTTGGATTCAGAATCATTATTTCAAAGATGATTTACAATGTATTAAGGGAGATAAACCTTTACCCAAGAAGAGCCAACTACGTTCTTTGTATCCATTCGTAGATAAAGATGGTCTCTTACGGGTGGGAGGACGTCTTCGAAATTCATCTTTAGCATTTAACATCAAACATCCTGTCATACTTCCTTCTCGACATAAATTTAGCGAATTACTAGTGAAAGAACTTCATATTACTTACCTTCATGCTGGTCCTTCTTTATTATCACACCTCATCAGACAATCTTACTGGATAATTGGAGGAAAGAAACTGATACGCAGTTGTGTCAACCATTGCTTAATATGTCATCGATTTAAAGCTGCTTCAAATCCGCAATTGATGGGTGACTTACCTGAACATCGTGTGACTTTGGAACGACCTTTTTACGCATCTGGTGTGGATTACGCTGGTCCTATTACCATGAAATTTAATAAGGGTCGTGGCTCTAAAACAACGAAAGGCTATATATAGCTCTGTTTGTTTGCTTGTCGACTAAAGCTGTGCATATAGAAGCAGTCAGTGACCTGACGGCAGACTCGTTTATCGCTGCACTTAGACGTTTCATTTCACGTCGCGGTGCACCACGGCACATTTACAGTGACAACGGTACCAATTTTGTGGGAGCATGCCGAAAACTACAAGAACTAAATCAGATTTGGTCTTCCTTGTATGCAACAGAATCGGTTTCCCGAGAACTAACTAAGTCATCTATTGAATGGCATTTTATACCGCCTGCTTCGCCCCACTTCGGAGGAATATGGGAAGCCGGCA